ATATCCTCTCCATGAATATAGCAACGAGGACAAGTATCATTCTGTGCAATCCCTCTTGCAAATCTGGCATTATTTGTTAGAACTCTATCATAGTACAGTGATCCTTTCTTGCCCCCCGAGCCTCTGCTGGTTTGACCTGACGCTCCTGCTCTGTCTGGATCTCTGCGCCTCAAGAACCCACCTTAAGTCTTCTGCAGCAAGGTTCCTTTGAGCATAAGGCAGACTGCGATTTCTGGCAACACTCCTGAGGTCTGCGACATTCACGCCCACAGACACAACTGGAAAAGGATCTGCATCCACTCCCATGGTTTCCTTCGCTTTGTCTGAAAATTTTAAGATACCCTTATCAATCTTTTCTTGCAAGATATTACGAAAAATAAGACAATTATCAGTAGAATGCTTCCATGAATTATGAAATTTGCAATAATCTCTAGCTCCGATTTCAGCCGCTGCCGGGATTTTATGTCCCGGCGGCAGCTTAATTAGACCACTCTTTTTAAGGTGGTCAAATATATCACTAGCTTTTGACACATCAAAAGTATACTGTTTTCCAGCCTCACCAACATAACGTCTCACAGACGTCTCAGGCTGGTGAGTTGGTCTGACAAGGTCTGGACAAACAACAGGCTTGTCTGTAACCACCTCAGCCACATCAAGATCAAAATTAGGATCACTATAATAGGTTCCATGTGATGCAACCTTCTTTTGAACATCTTCTTTCAGCAGATTTTCATACCGAGCCACTTTATAAGACAATTCATAGAAGTCTCGGAATTTCATCCCCTCAAATTTCTTTCGGAGCTCAATGTCCAGACCATTCTGAGCCAGCTTGACAAATTCTAGTTCTGGTAGTGCAACTCTACATTTCAGTCTGGCTCTCCGGAACCTAGCAAGGAATGCCTCAGACGACTCTCCAGGCTTTTGGGCTAACCTCGACAAGTCTGCCATAGACACTTCTGGTTCACAACGATAGAATTGAGTATGAAACAAGTCCTCCATTTGCCTCCAAGAGTAGACTGAATTTTGAGGCAGATTGAGGTACCAAGTAAGGGTTGTTCCAGTCAAAGAGCTAGGGAACAGTCTGAGTTTCAAGTTATCATCTCCAGATGCCTCTCCACATTGTATTGTGAAGCGTCCAATATGTTCAATAGTGGACTGACCAACCTCACCAGAAAATAAAGTGAACTTAGGCACTTTAAAACCCCTTGGAAAAGGATTTTCATGATCAATGATGTCTGGATAAGGCTTCCTGTAGGCTGGACGCACCAATGGTCTCAAGGTTGGTCCATAGGTTTCTTGTACCAAATCTATTAGCTTATCTCTATTGAATAATTGAGCTGGGTGATTCTGCAGACCGCGTTGTACCGGCTGGGCTGGAGGAACTTGCGGCTGGAAAAAATCCCTTGGGTAGGGTTGATGATGAGGACCCACATTTCCCCTCCTACCTGGCGGAACATACCTATGCTGAGGTTGATGGCCATGGTCTGCAACAGGAGTAGCAGCCTCCATTGGTTCATGCTGTCTTTGTCCTTCACCCATGAAGAAATTCTGCTGTTGAATGTTAGGATGAGGCTGATTCCCTTGCCCCTCGAGTGCTGGGATTGGGGCTTCCTGAATCTGTCTGGGCATTTCAACGACTGGAGGAGGAATCTCAGGTCTGGGCTGTCGCACTTGCTCAACCATTTGTTCTGAAACAGCCTGCAATGTTCTGCGACTTTCTTCCCCAGTTTCTCGCATCACCTTAATGCCTTCCTCAAAGACCCGTCTCATCTCTTCTACACATTGTCTAACAAACTCTTCCTGACGTCTGGAAGATTCTGTTTGACTGTCAACAAGTCTTCGCATAGCCTGGTTCTGTTCTTTGAATGCTAAATCCAGACGTTCAGTCATACCTTTAAACACATTACTTGATTCAGCAAAGTCACCCCCACGGTCCGCTTCTTTCTCCTTAAATACTGGATTCCCATAGGACCGTTCTGCCAAAGGTGACACTGGGAGAAAAGTGATGGGATCATTTTCACCCTCAGAGTGAAGTGGACTGTCGTCTGCATGGTCAGCCTGGACTGGCTGAACCTCTTTGTCTCTGCTCTTTCTCGGTGGCATGGCTCCAGACGCTTCTGGATGTATAAACAGAGGGTCTGTAAACTTTAATTGATACACCTTGCTGGTTGTCCCACCAGGCGTGCCAACAAAGGATTGTTTCCTCAAAAATCCTCA